ATAGATAATGATAATTTTAAAATATAGATATTTAGATAGATAAATAGATAGATAATTTGGAAATAGATAGATATGAAGAATTTTGTAGATAGATAGATATATTAGATAGATTAAATAAAAATGTTATATATGATCTATAGATAGATAGATCAGATACGCGCCGTCGATAGATATGTCTGTTCTACAAATAGATTAATGGAAATTGCTCCGATAGCTGCATTCGCTGGTTCCCAGACGTCATGAAGAAAAGCGCCCTACGAGGCTGGCATCCCGCTCTCAATGTTCACTGTCGAAACTCCTAAATGTAGCCGTCTCTTCTACTCCAATAGCTTCATGTCTCGCACCTCTCGCCTGTGGAACTCCCTTCCCTATTCCAGTTTCCCTGAGAGCTATAATCTCCAGCTATTCAAATGTAATGTCAATCGACATCTCCAGTTGCCTTGATCTATCCACTACCCTTCTCCTCATCCTTTCTTCTATCACTCCTATCTGATCTTGCTCTAAATTTTCTGTAACCCCTTGCGTCCTAGTGGCTTCCCCCTTGCTTGGGGTGAAATGCTTAAAAAAAAAATTTTATATATATAAATATATAAGAAATATATGCTATATAAATCGAAATTTAAAATACAATTTATTCTATAAATTTTTATATGTTTATTTACCGCATCGATCCCGATAAAAACAACTGAAAATTTTAGCAATGTTGTAAATGAAAACAAAATTTGAATATATATATATATTTTTGCAATATTTATTTTTTTTAAAAAAATACCAATTTTTTTTTCAAAGGGTTTCCTATCGATAATTAACTCTTTAAATCAAATTATTTATTTTATATATATTATAAATAAATATATATTTTTTATAAAAATACTAAAGTTACCATTTTTTTATAATTTGAAATTTTTGATAAAATTAAAAAATTTATTTCATTATTCATTTCCTCAAAACATTTATGTCAAAAATATAAAAAGTTTTATTCAAAGTTTAAATCATCATAAAATATTTTTTTTATTTACAAATATATTAATATTGCATTTTTGCATATTGAATATATTTTGAAAAAATAAAAAATCAAAAATTATTAATAATTTTTTTTACATTTTCCATGTTATAAAATGTCCTAATTTAATGAAAATTTTCTACTGAATAATAATTTGGTAATTCTTTTTCTCACATGTTTCAACCCTATTCAAATTTTTTTAATTTCTGAGTTATATCTTTTTAAAATTTCAATGAAATATTTCTAATTTTAATTACTAAATTTTTTCTATCTAAATTTCCTAAATAAATATTCATCCGAAAATAACTTTTCAAACATTCTTTTTTATTTTTCTGAAGATAAATTTTTTCTTTTTATAAATCATGATAAAAATTTTAATGTTTTTAAAATAAAATAATTTATTTTTTAATTAACTTTTTAATTATTCATGAAAAAAATATATTTTTATTTTAATATTTTATAGATTTTAGAAATGATATTTTTGAGAACAAAGAGAAGTTTTTTTGCATTAAAAAAAATCGATTTATAAATAAAATTTTTTTTATATAAAAGAAAATAAAATATATGATAAATAAAAGTTAAATTTAATATTTATTATTTAAATATAAAAAAAAATTGATATTTTTTAATTTCGTATTTTCACTATTTTTTATTTTTTTTAAAAATTTTTTAAATAAAATTCCAATTTAATTTAATTGTGGTTTTGAATTTTCATGAGTTATAACATATTTTAATATATTATATTTTAAGAAATTAATAATTTTTATTTTTATTTTTTTTTTATTTTAAAATATTTAGATTTTTTTCAATATTTTAATTTTTTTAAATTTTCCAATTGAAAATTAAAACAAAATAATTATAAAAAATTTTATTTAAATTTCCTTTAGGAATGAAATTTTTTATATATTATTTGATTTTTTTTAAATTTATATATAAATTTATTTTATTTTTTTTATTTAAATAAATTCTTTTTTTGGAAAATTTTTTATATTTATATTAACAAATTTTTTTTTTATTTTTTTGAAAGAATATTTAATAAAATCTTCCATATTTTTTTTGAATTTGTTTTTTTTTCTCTATGAAATTCATGTAATATTAATTTAAAACTAAATTTATAAAAATTTTTTTTTTTTTCTTTTTTTGGATAAATTTGAATATTTTTTTTATAAATTTAAATTTTTTATTATATATATAAAAATTCCCATTTATATATTTCAAATATAACATATATATATATTTATTATTATTATAAAATATTTAAATATAATTATCATTATATAATTTATGATTTTATTTTTTTTACTTCAAATTATCCCAAAAAAATTTAAATATATTTTTTATACTTTTTTTATTTTTTTTATATATTTGATATTTAAACATAAAAAATTTAAAATAAAGAAATGTCATATATATAAAAATAATAACATTTTATTTTGAAATAAATTTGATAATTTAATAATAATGAAAGAAAAAATGTTTTTAATTTCCAAGAACAAA